TATTTCAACTGTTGAACCACCTGACCTTGCTATCAATTTTGAAACAAAAAGGTCAGCCGCTAGTAATAAAAAATTAAATACAGTCACAAAATTTCTTGTCATTGGCTGAGCTGAGTGTTCATTGCAGATGCACTTTTGACAGCCGGCAGCCGTAGCCAGCCACTGGTTCCTGGTTCAATACTTGATTTGATAGCAATAAGAAAAAGATTTATTTGCCCAAATTAACTTTGACGAAAAGGTATTTAAATATTTGGGAAACACTTCAGATGAAAGAAAAGCAAATTCTTTTTTCTTCTACTTTTTCACGTTCACTAATTTTTTTCCTTTTTATTTGTTAAGTGTAATTTAAAAAAAATGGCGAATTTAATTTATCTACAAATAAAAAAATAAGCTTGAGAATTTTAATTTTTAAGCGTTGAGAAATTTGAAATTTTATGTGCACAAAATTTGAAAAGAAAAAAATCCTTGCATAATTTCGCTTTGATGAAGAGGTCTTTAGAAATTTCTGAGCAAAATAAATAAGTAATTTTAAATTAAGTTCGATACAGAATTTTGTGTTACCTTTGGATTTCAATTTTGCCCTCATTTTCATGATCCTCACAAAATTTTGATTTGAAAAAGTTTTTTATTCATTGTAATTGGCCAAAATCTATAAAGTTTGCGAGCATGTTGACGACCTTTTATTTACCAGCTCATTTGATTTTAGCGCGGGTTAAATATTTATCCCGTAGAGGGGGCCAAGAAAAGATATCCCCCAATGACCTGGGGAGAAAAAATTGAAGGAGGGACAAAAAATATTTAATCTGGGACAGTGGTCTAAATTTTATCCCTTTGGATATATCCCGGGATATCTTTTATCCCGGGAGAGCTAAGTCTATTGAATCTCCCCCATTGAAAATATGTGGATTTTGGTTGGAGGGGAAAACGTGGACAGATTGCGTCTAAAATTGCTCGGGACTATTAGCCTATTCATATTGTTTAAAAACTGATAAAAGCGACTAATAAATTTTCCATATGCAAAAATAATAAATGCTAAAGCAGAACTTATAAAAAATCACCCTTATTTATTAAATAATTAAAATAACTATATTTATTAGAAATTTTATAATCAACGTATGATCATCAAAATAGCCTGCCTTGTTTAGTAAATTTAATAATATTATTCTTAAGTCATTTAAGTCAGCTTGGTTTTTGGACACATTAAATGATCAAAACAAATGTATAATTGAGACTTGTTTTGATAATTTTCAAGGTATTGGTTTAAGAAAAATTGTCAAGTTTTATTCAACAATTTGTCTCAGCTAATAGCCAATTCCTTGTACTTTTTTATAACAAAAAAATATTATATATATATGGTTTCCTTTGATTTGTCACCAAAAATTTAAAGCTAAGAGATCTTAAAGTATAACTTTTATATTTTTTTATTATAGCCACCACCTGATGAAGCACTTCTGGCATTAATGAAATTTACTACCAAAAAATTGTCTCCTACTCAAGTTATAAACGGACTGAATGACGCGTCTCCTCCATATTTTTTTAGTCTGCGACTTACCCGTCGCTCGCTAATCTCCACTCATCCTGAATTACTCCCCAATAAAAGCGCAATTAAATTAAGAAGACGGATGGCGCGTTCAGAATCAAGGCGCGCAATTAGGAACGATTGTTGCTCTCGAGGTGGGTGATTAATTCGCACCTGCCCCCAGCCATAAATAAGGAAACAAGCGATTATTATTATTATTTGGCCTGCTGATGAATCGCCATTCGGATTAAGAAGCCCCCGTAATCAGCACAACATAAATTACTCCTTTATTACACGGCCATAATTAAAATTTATTTCTCGCACTACTGCTTGTCACACACTCGAAAATCCTCCTCCTCCTCTCAGCATCTCTCAACTCTCAAAAGAGAGCGCGTTTTGAATTATTATTTCTCGTCTTTAATTACGAGAGAGGGAAAACAAAAACTCGACGACGTGTTGCGAATTTACAATTTCGGCGGCGCGAGAAATTAATTGGAGGGCGTTTCGCTCGATCGAATATTTATTATTTGCTTTGCTTTGGATCTCACTTTCAGGTGAAAATTGCCAGTAAATTAAAGACGCGGCGGTTAACTGGACGTCAGGAGCACAGCATTCGTAGCAATTCAAAAGATAATTCATTTTCACGCACAAATGCTTTGCGATTACAAGATTAAAGAGAGGTGTTGAGCCGCGAGTTTGATTTATTTGTTTATATGTACTTATTTTCATTAGCTTCTTAATTTCATGTAAAATATGAAATTAATTTTAAAATGCTATCATCGAATAAAATAATTTAATTTCTAATATAGACTTGAATCATATTTATATCATGTCTCAAAAAGAAATTTAATATGTTCATTTTAATTATTTTTTTGTGTTTCTCCATATAGGTAGGAGTAAATTATGAATTAATTATAAAAGGTTTATCACCAAGATAGCATCAAATCTTGAGTATTTTTTTTCTATTAATTTTGCTCGTATTTATAAAGCTCACAACAAATCCTCAATGGTCCAATAATCGACGTATCTCTCTCATTATAATTACATTCCGTAAAGAGCCGGTTATTTTGAGATCTCGTTCCAGCAACTGACTTCGGAGCACAAAGGGGTATACATCACAAATTTTCCTCTTCACGCTTGTAAATCACGTTGATTCAATAGACAGCAGACGCCAGCGAGAGTTTTATATTATTTTGAAGGGACGACTCGTCCGCGTTAATGGGCGCTCATTACGTGTTAAAAGTCGTCTGAAAATTCCGAGGAGGTGCATTTGAAGGAGGCTCGAACTGGAAGAAAAGAGGCTCGATCGCATCTTCACTCGATTTGATTCCCCAACAAGTGTCAGTGAGTGTGCCGCGCGCACAATGGGCATCAAGTCAATAAAACGCTCCTTTCATACAAATGAGCGAGCCACACACGCGGCGCGCCAAGACAAAAGCACATCCAGCCTTGTCACAATAACGACGAAGCACATTCGCTCTCTGTTTGGATAATTCCATCGTATCATCCCCTGTCGACACAATAGCCGAGTAATTATGTCCATCCAAAGACGACCGACCGCGAACGCGGCTCTGCCCCGCGAGAGGAAATAAATTTAATAAATGCGCGCCTCGGCACACTCGACGCATTATTTCAAAAAAAGACGAGTCATATGACTTGCGTTCCAATGAAACGCTCGCCGCTTATATGATATTCTGATTTTTATTTTTGTGATTAATTTTGTAAGTCGATTTTATGTGACAAATACCAGAAATGCAGCTTAAATAATTTTAATTGTATACAACAGAATTTTGTAGCCTTTAAGCGCAGCGTGATTAAATTATTTAAAAAAAAAACACACACACACAATTCGTATTGTTAGTAATTCTATAAATAATTTAATAAATACTATAAATCCTATAAAATAGTACTTTGTTTCAAATAACCTTTTAAATAATTGAACTTTTTATATTTGTTATGTAAATTGAAATAAATATAAAAAGTAGTTAATGTATATTATATTTTTTATATAAATAAAATATTTTAAATAAAATTATATCTTCTAACTGGCTACTGGGACAGGCGACCTCCTGTCTCGCACGTACGGCTTCTACCCTCGCAGCAAAAAGTTCTTCTGTCTTTTAAAGCTGTCTGCTTAGCCACTCATTCAAATCACCACACCCGCGCACAGGGCAGACAACAAAGAAAAGAATGACATTCTGGAAACACGCTTTAACGTCGCACAAATTATGTAAGATCGCACTCAAACACAATAGTCTGTTTTTGTTCCTCTTCTTGCTATTTTAAGTCGCGCGGAACTGCAGTCAGAGGATGACTGCTAGTATTGATGTTAAGCGCAATTTTCTTTCTACTCGAACCTAATAAATTTAGTGCAAAAGTTGAAAATTTCCTGACCATAATAAGACATAATAATGTAAAATGCATTTTATTTTTAAGAAAATTCAATAGAAGGAGAGGTTTTTCTTTTAGATTAAAATTACGTTTGTGAATAATAATTGGCATTAATCGCAATTTAATTTTATTTATTTTTAGAAACTTTAAAACATCATAAAAAAAATCTTGAATTTTTTAATTGTTTTTGGATTCTACATTTCAGATATTTTTTTTGTAAATCATCAACAATTTTGTCTTCACAAATGGAGAGAAATAATGTGAAATTGGAAATTTATTTGCTAACAGAAAACAAAAAACAACTTGAGGAATTCACATCCAATAGCAAAAATAACAGGACTGGCTGGTGTGTGCCTTTTCCTTTTGAAAGAATAGAATTGTGTAAAAGAAATTCTTTTACCCAAAGGGGGCAAACCTTGGATTGTGCGCTTGTGAGATTTTTTCTAATTTATTTGATTAAAGCGAATCATTCTGGTGTGTTTGCCGAGGAGTGCCTTTTCACAGAAAGTATTCACATGCAGCGTCCGGCAGCACAATGGTGGCCGCCCGTGGGCCACGCAGAGGGTCACGGTTGGTTCTCTGCTAACCACACGGCGGTCACGCTCGCTTTGTCTAATTGAGAAATATTTTCGACTCTCCAAATTCCCGTCTAATTATGCCTGCCTGTCAATTGGAGGATTAATTGTTTTTGTATAACGACTGCGTGATAAATGAATTCTCACCAGAACTGACTGCTGCCGTTGTGGCTTTTGAATCACAAAAAGATTAAAAAATAAAATACTACAAGATGCCAGATTCTTCCGTCTTCAAGGGGCCAGAAAGTGATGGACGCGCAAGAAAAACAATTCATCAGCAGAATTTATTCAACCTAAATTGAATTTGTTCACCGGTGCGCGTTTTTTGTTTTAACACAATTGTATTATTTTTACAAGCAACAACCGGCAGCAACAGTAAAATCTTATAAAATTTTATTTTCATTAAAATAATCAATAATAGAGGTATTTTCATTTTATTTGTTTTTGTTAATTTATTAAATTTATTTAAATCATAAAAATGCTATAAAAATTTCATATCAATGGTTTACTTCTAACCTGTTTTTTGGAGGTTTGTTATATAGAAACGTCACATTATATTTTGCTCCACACACCTCTATGTGTTTTATTTTGCAGTTCCTTTCGACATTAGAGTGGGTTATCATTAATTGCACAGTAACCTATTATAGATTACGTATTATCACACTGCATTATTATTTCAACATTATACTCTGTGATTAAAGTCTACAATTTTTCGTTATATGCAAACATCTACTTTTGCAACGACTTCTGCATTCAGAGAAATAAGTATATACATGATAGTGAGCAATCAATCATAATACTAGCCAGTAGTATTTCGAGACGTGTGCTAAAAGGACAGAACAAAAATTCGGCAGCTAAAACCACCATGCCTGGAGATCAAAATATAGAGGAGCAGATTGATACATTTTTTACTAAACAATTTACTGGGTTAAATTTTAGCTCTAACAAATGAGGTTGGTATTGTTCGGCTCACTTATCAAAAGAAATTGCAAGGCAACAACAATTACAACAATTTAATGTAGCTACTACGGCTACTACGTATCATCTCATGCAATGTGGTACATGAGATACTCGAAAATATACGAACGGCAAAAACAGACTCGGCGGAAACTCCTTCAAGTTTGCCCGAGTCAGTTCATCACTGGAGCTGGTATTCTGCTTTAATCATCAGATATGACACAAATTTTGCACCCACCATTGGGCTGGCAGTACTTTTATGAAAAACTGAACATGTTTTTTTGTAAATAGGAACATTAAGTGCAATGACACAACATATAAAATAAGTTAGTAAGATACAATGGAAACACAAGACTTAAATTAGGTGGGAAATATTTCGGAAAATGGTCCTCGAAAGTAAAGTGCGCAAATGCACACTAGATAACAGAGAGTTAGAATATCTATAAGACCTAATTGCAAGTTTTGCAAATAAGTAAATTAACAAAATTAAGTAACCTTTTTGGACTAGCTAAAAAGTACATGCGAGGAAAAATGGAGGCACTCTAGTAACAAATAATACAGAGATAAGTACTGCACTAAGTAAACGGTTTAAAAGTTATGATTTGTAGTTAACTACAGAAAATGCTAGTGACAAAAAGTACAAAGCGTGAAAAAGTACAAAATTATACCTCCAGCCCTCCCACCTATAACAAATCCAATAAATTTGATTTTTTCCAAGCGCACAATTTTAAAAGTTATATAGGCACAGAGTGCCAATCAACTTTGGAAAGTCAGTGATAAGCCATTGTCAAATGGTCCTCTTAGGGGTGGATTGCATTACTAACTTGGCGGGGTCAAGCGTCACCTCGCCATTTCTATGCAAAACCACTGACATCTTTGCATTAGGAGTTTCAGGCGTTTCTGAGGGCACCCTGTGAAGCGGCTCTGCTTGCATAGGCGGCCACTGAGGGTCCTGCGCAAGGTCCTTGTCTATGTCTAAGTGTCGGGGGTGGCTTTCTTTAAAGTGGCAGCGCATCAAAACTGCCTCTAGGCCAAAACTAAGTGCAGCGTGAATCACGGCCAGGGCTAAAATAAAAAGCCTTGGGGAGAATTCCGGCGGGAGCTTAAATTCGACAAATTTTTCAAGCCACATAGGAGGCACTAGGACGATCACCACACTCAACAGGGTACCCAAAATTAGGGTGATCATCATGCCTACGTTGGTGTAGAGAGGTTCGCGGTAAGGAGGTCCTCTAGAGAATACAGCAGCAAGCACTAGATATTGGAAAGCAGATACGGAAAACACAGCATAGTTTTCGTAGCACGCAAGTGTATCTTGTTCGGGGTCAAATGGTGTGTACCAAGAGTAAGAAGTGATGAGAAGTACTGCCAGGATTTGGGCCAAAGTGCCAAGCATGAGCTGGCTAATCAACGAAGTAACAGGGGCTAATGAAAATAGAGACGACGAGGGTGGTCGTTTTGCTAAAGGGCCCGGGTGCGAGCCGGACCTGCCAAAGAAAAATGCAACTAGGGTGATAAGGAAAAGGTCAATGAATAGGAACTGGACGTCGGACAGGTTGTTGTCAAATTCGTAGAGAAGCATCACAGAGACAAACTGAGTCAGACTGTATGCGGCCATGTACTTGAAGAGACCAAAGGAAGTGACCAGGGCAGCCCGACTTTCTCGTAGAAGGCGCTGAACACATTCCACGCTGGGTTCTTTGGATGTGAATGGAGAGGCAACAGACGATTCAGCATCAGAAAGGGAAATTCCTGCATGCGCTGCTTTCAGAGCACCACAATCATTAGCTCCATCTCCAACCATTCCTGCAATTTTATTTGAAAATTATTTATAACATTTCTATAATGCTCCAGAGTAGCTGAATTCACGCACCAACACAATATCCCAATGTCTGAAGTTCCTGTACAAGTTGCTGCTTGTGTTCAGGGCTCATTCTCGCAAAAACAGCCCCCCTAGCAGCAACCTGAGCAACAGTCAAGCTAGGGCATGATGTCCTCAGGGCTTGCCAGGTCTGCCCTGATACTGCCAGAACCCATTTGTTTGCAGTGCTTATTTCATTAGCTGCCTAATAAAACAATTTTTTATTATTAGACAAATTTCAAATTAAGTTTAAATTTTTTACTTCTGGCATATCAAGACGATCACAATCTGTGTGATAAACCCTGGCAGGCTGACCTTCTGACGCTCCCTGTACATGCACAGCAGCTACCCTTTCGTTATTTGAGACAAGGCCGCAGTCCCTTGCAACGCTCAAGGCAGTGAGCATGTTATCACCTGTGAGCGTCATTTTATTTTCATTTGGGGTGCACAAAAGGTAGCATTTATATATACCTGTGACCATGATGCACCTAATGTTGGATTCTCGCAAGCTACAAATCACTTTTGCAGAGTCTTTCTTCAGCCTGTTTTCCATCACAAGCAGGCCCAGCAGAGTCATTTCTGCTTCAACGTCTTCTCGAGCTAAACGATGTATCCTGTGGTAAGCCGAAACTTTCAGTTTTCTGCCAGCAAGAGCGAGCACCCGCAGCCCTTGTCTGGTATGGCTGTGCAGAATGGTCAAAAAGTCTTTGGGCACAGTGTCTGCTCTGCAAAGTGAAATCACAGCCTCGGGTGCACCTTTGCAGAAAATGCGGAATTCACTTTCCCAAAGAGCCCTCACCACAACACACATGCGCTGGAGCGACGAAGAAAATGGAAACTGACGGAAAATTCCCACTTGAGGCACCTTAAAAATGGGACAAATATTAAATTGGGTTTGTAAAAAGTAATTGACAAACCTCGATTTCAGCATGCTGCGAAGACATCAAAAGGTCTGGCCGTGGAGGCTGCACAACAGTTGGACACATTGTGTCATATTTACTGCTATCATCTATAGCAGGTTCTTCCAACAACCATCCAGTGCTTTCGAACATCTAAAAAGAGAATATTACGCTTTATGATATTATAATTAAAGTTTTAAATTGACCTTCAAATCTAGTGGGTCTCCGGAGAGCCTGCCATCGATTAGGGTCAATGAATGGGATGAAGCCATTGCCATCGTCAGTTCATCAATGCGTGCAGAAACCGAATCCGACTTAAGAGGGAATTCTGTGATTGCAGCAGAAAACGTTCCATTGTTAATTGGAAGAACTCCCCACAAATCCAAACCCTCTTCAGTAAGAGTACCAGTCTGTAAAAATAGTAAATTATTAGTTATTAATTTCAAATTTAATCATATTTCAAATAGATTGCAAACCTTATCAAAACAAACACAATCAATAGATCCTGCTACATTGATGGTTCTTGGGCTGATGCAGAAAACATTTTCTTTCTTCAATCTGCTCTGCGCATACATCCTTCCAACTGTCATTGCTGCAGGGAGTGCAGGTGGGACGACTATCGTTATCAAATCAAGAGCGTCAACTATGATCTCAACGGTGCCAATTCCTCTCAAGTGCTAAATTAATAAAAATTATTTTTAGAATAAATTAGATTGCACATTTATTAATTTAAAATAATTACCTTAACAACAACGGTGTACAAAAATCCAATGAATGATATGGCAGCTAACAGTTCCACAAAGCGATACGAGTCCCTCTCGAAGTGAAAATCGACAGGCGGAGGATAGAGCATTGCTCTGACCAGGTTGCCCTTGCTGGTCAAAAAGCCAGTTCGCACAACAACAGCCAAGACAGGTTCCCCAGCATAGAATCGAGTCTGCAGCAGACGTGTGCCGCAGAAAAGTGTGTGTCTGGCATGCTCCTTGGAATCATAAAGAAGGTTTGGAGTACTCGGAAGAGGTGTTTTCGGCACAGGTTCACTTTCCCCTGTGAGCATGCTCTCGTTGACAATGCATGTGCCGTTGAGCAGAGCGGCATCACAATGAAGGACGCAACCATGTGGGGGCAGGACCAAAATGTCACCAGGGACTAACTCGTCAGTGGAAATTTTTTCGTTGACACCTTCTAGACGCTTGACCACTGCCATGTCTCTTGTGTTAACAGTGCTGTGCAAATTCAATTGATTCTAAAATAAGTTTTAAAAATCAATTATTGAAACTTTATGATAAGATTTATAATAATAACCTTTCGAGTTTGAAAAACAGTGACCGCACATCCACCAAGTGACATAATGAGGATGGCCATTGCATACAGGATGTAGTCGTCAGCAAACCACAGACAGAAGGAGAAAAATTGGAAGATGTAAAACGGGTTCAGCACTTCCAAGAACAACAGTGCCAAGATGCTCTTCACAGGCACAACAATTTCATTGCTCCCGTAGACTCGTCTCCTATAAACAAAAAAATTTTCATTTATGTGATGCCAAAATATGTAGAATTATTTCTCAATAATAAAACATTCATTTTATTTTTCAGGAATATTGATAAACGCCAAAAGAAAAATTATTTGCACCTCATAAACTGCTGCTGCCTGGTTAAACCTTGCTGTTGGTGGAGGTTGGTGGCTAGCACATCACGATCCAAACCTCTCAAAGCTTCAAAAACTTTATTTTCTTGCTGCCAAATGTAGTGTTTTTTCTTAACCGTGATCAATTTAATCCTCTCAACATCTAAAAAATAAAATGTTGGCTTTAAAGCTACGTTATATTTCTTGGAAATTATATTCAAGTCACAGAGGCCAAATATTTACCTTCTGGATAAGATTGTGAGCGTTTCTTTTATTTGTGATAACATTATAAAATTAATTACCTTGGAAAATTCCTCCTGAAAGGTGGTAACTTAACTTGGGCTCGTCTTCTTTGTTGAACTCTGTTAGCACTTGGACGTCATCCAAGCAGGATTCCTCTGCCTTCTGCTCGTCCTCTTTGCTGCTCTCCTCATCTCTGTGTGAGGAATTGATACGTCAGTCACGTGCCAGCAAGAGATTGCTTGTAAAAAAAAATTACTTACCCAGTGCTACTAATTATTTTCACCTTCTTGACATGGTAGTTCTTATATTTCTCCTGAAACTCCTCCTGAAGTGAAAATTGAATGCATTAGTATATAATTTAAAAAATATTAATTTTAACGTATTATTTATTTCACATTAACAAATTTATTTTCAAAGACATTATCTTGTTAATTTTTTATAATAAATTGTTTTTTTTTTTTTTAATTTATGACACAACTTACAATGACTAAAACCTTGGTGGCTTCGCTCAAGGGAGAGGGTTTGTGGGTGAAGACAAGGAAGTACTTGGGCATCCAGTGCAGAAAAAGCCGGAGCATGCCGCAGGTGAGCAAAATGCACAACCAGCAGACACTCGTCCGAAGCCAGCACCGCACATAGCCGTACACCTCCTAAGAAAAAAAAAACTAGTCTTTACAATCACTTTTCACCTCTTCCAAAAAGAGCCTCTAAATGTCATTGGAATAAAAATGGTCATAAATTTTTAAAATCACATAGCACACCATTTGATCATCTTGCCCAGGGTTGAGGTAGTCGACACCCTCCTTTTGAAGACGGGTGCTCTTCTTTTGGGCCTCAACATCGCCTGAAACAGGGGAGGCGTCTTGTGAGCCGAGCATAAATATGAACCTGTTTTGGGAGTCTGCATGCAGCGTCTGGTAGAATATCAACTACTATGAAGTGAAAGCCCGGCTGGGGCAACGCGCGCGTTTCTACCTTTATCTGCACAGATAGTGAAATTTAGTTCCCCTCTCCAATTAAAATGCTGCCAGCCACCAACATGAATGAAATTAATTTTAAATCTGCTATTCTATTTTGCGGTTCTTATTTTTTTTCTTCAAATTTCTTTAAAACATTAAATTGATCAACTTATTGGCAGGCTCTTTTTATTTTTTACTTAATGCAACTTTTTAATTTTACAATATTTTTTTCAGTTATAAAATATAAGGAAATCGCACGGGAATCCCTATTTAAATTATTTTTATTACTTGAAAAAGTCATGCAAATTACTTGAAGAACTTTGTCGCAACTATTATAATTTTTTTTTTTAAATAATGATCATAATTCTAACGTGTCAACCAGTATCAACAGAGTTCTGGTAAATTAGCTATGCTGAATTTTTAAATGAGATATTTGACAGAAGTGGACAGAAGTTTAAATAATAAATCAATATACCATAATATTCTTCAAAAATTGCTAGAAAATTTGATAAAATATAATATTGAAATTAATAATGCTGTTAAAATAAATAAAATTCAATCAAACATAATTTATCATTAAAAAAAGAAACGTTTAAGTTTTTATCGTAAAAAAAATATTAGTGCATAAAAAAATGAATAATACTAACTTGCCAAAATCTATTATTATTTTTTTTTTTAAATTCCACGCCAATTTGTGAAGTTTGAAACACGTTGCCAAAAGGAAGAATATTATTTGCGTTATATTGTAATAAAAAATAGCGCGCAAGGTAATTAATCACCTGGTTCAACAATTAAAAATTATACCTAACAACTTTTCCTGCTGCGCCAGAGTGGCTGTTGCGTGTTTCGGTGGTGATTTTTTAGTGAAGGACAGTCTATTGTAGGCATTTTGTTGGAATCGCTGAAATGAATTCGGCATATCTACAAAACTTAAATTGGAGAACTTAATTGGGCTGCTGCTCCTCTCGATCGCTATCAAATCAGTCCGAGTCAAATGTGCTTTTATCACTTTCAGTCCAGCACAAATTATTTAGCGGGGGAAATCCTCTGGCTGCTGATCACAGATGAAGCATGGGATATGTCGTGGACAGGGGGTTCATCATCTGAACTGAGGGAGGAAGGCCGTCTTAAGCGGGTGTCAGTCCCCTGGCTCCGGCTTGCACCTCTGCCACAGAATATGTCCAACTGGTGTCCCGCCGTGTCCGAAACTGCTACTTCCGCCGATCAAACTCTTCCTGACACTCATTGAGGACATGATTGGCGCCGTTCTAGACGATTAAATCATGGACAAGTGCAAAAAGCGTTTGTATTTCATGCCCAAACCAGGTCGCACAGAGTGTGCACCCCTTCTTCGGATGCCTTTTTCCTTTCTCCCTTTCCTCTTCCCTTAGAGAAAACGATCGGAGTGGGCGCCAATTGCACTGGACACTTAACCACTGGATGCGTCGGGCGCTGGACAAGGCGGTAGTCGGACTGTGACAAAATTTGGTTGACCTCGTCGAATTTTCACCACCACGTTCTCCGTCTTCGCGTGCAACTCGGTTATTATCCTAAGGGTGCTCAATTTTAGAAAACCGGTACTATTCACCAATGCAAACACCGGCTGGTTTTCTGCTTGAATATAATGATCTATTTGGCAAACTTTGTATGTTAAGGGGTTTCTTTGATAAAAATTAAAATATATTTCATAGATTTTCATACAGAAAATTATCGCTCGCAAAGACAAACTGATTAATTTACCGGTTCGTGTTCACCCTCGATACTATTGCAAAGGGATTTAACTGCTCATGCGCCAGGGGGCAAAATACAAAGTGCGGGGGTGAGGAAGATTTTAAATTGAAATTTGGTACGAAGCCCGCGAAATTGAGAACGTGCAGGCAGTGAAAAAAGAAATGTAATATTCGTAATATTCCTAAACACTGACATATAATTAAAAATATTATTAGTTTGAGAAAATATTTATGTGAAATATGAGATAATGCACAAAAAAATATCTGAATTTCTTTTGCCAATGAAATAAAAAAATTCTAGCAGAAAAAGTAAATTATCAGTCACTGTTAAATAAATGCATATGAAACCTTTTGTGCGCCACAGAAATAAATGCTGTTCCTTGTGATCGTCCAAATATACGAACTTCAAGCAGTTTTGACGATGACGAAGAAGCCTCACAAGTGAAAATGTGCGTCGAGCAGCCAAGATTGTGACGAAGGCAGCAAATAAAATAGCATTACGCCAAGTCGCAGCGTGACATCACAGAGCGCGGCGAGCGCACCTCTTGCATGTTTGTTTGGCCTCGTCAATAAAACTCTTGGAAGTCACTCCGATAAATTTCTAGACAATATATTGAATGAACCCAGATGCAACGATGAAAAGAGACCTTTGTCACCCTAGCTAAAGCACTGATCAAGACAAACTGGTGACGGAAACGCAAAATAACACCGAGCACCAAGCCAAGAAATATTATCAACCTGGTGTTATATATCTAAAGAAGGGGTTTTCTGCACTAGCAAGCAAAAATTTATATCTCTCTGATAAGTATTTCTTACAAGTGTCAGCTTTTCAAATAAATAGTGTGCCTCAACGCAAGGGCATAATAATATATTGCTGCACCGCCTGTTTTTTGTGATCACAGAAATTTTGATAGTTAATTTAAAGACAATTAAACACACAGTATATAAGTAAATATGCAATAAAAAGATAATTTCGGATAATTTGAATTTTTCTCACCTGCTGCCTTTTTGTCATTGATTCGTCTGCCGCATCTACTCATGTGGTTCGGTCAGCCTAGGGAATATGCCAGTCAACTTGATGCGATCACGCTGAAGATTTTTACCATACACAGCAATATTCTTTGCGCGCTTGCTAAGCAAGGAATGCCAAAATCAGTCAAATTTATCTTGACACCACACTGTACTCAAATTGTAAACTTTAGCACTGTTTATCGCCCTAATCAAAGCCATCGGAGATTTAGATTATTTTGATAAAGGTCCCTCAAACAATAAAAGATAATAATTATACAATGCTTGAAAAAAAGAGAAGCCTATTAACTAAGCACGTGTTAATATTTTGAACTTTGTGCGTTGCCAAAATTGGAATGAAAAATATGATGCGATAATATGAAGATTAAAAAATTAAATATATATAATACATAATAAAATGTAGCAGGCAGGAGCCCATTTAAAATATACATTGGAAAGCTCAAAGTAAACTCTATATTTCCCTTTGAATAACACCCAGTGAATGATGATTTTAAAAGCCAGTGGCTAAATAATAAAGATTTGTAAAAGTAGGTCACAGCGTTATAGAAACATCTTTGTAAATTGCCTTGTCATAAATTATGAAGGTACGCTCAACACACACCTGCTTATAAAAATGCATTCCAGCACGAGTATTGTATATGCATAAAATAACAATTTAAATGAAAACAGCTATAAGCTCATGACTTCATACAGTAAACTAAATACAAGACAATCCATGTACGTTAATTGAAAACGACAGGTTGAAGAAGTTTGTATAGTTGGAGCGAATACAATAATTTAATTTAATCAGTTACTGACAGAGACAGAGCTTAAAAAATTACACGCTTCTTTTCACAATACAAAACTTGTTTTATTTAAGAAGTTACAATGTTGTATCAAAAAACATTTGTGGCACTTTCAAAATAATGGTTTTGTGAGAAAAAGATTATTTCAGTCTTGTTGTTACTATTGCATTTGTGTGTTGTATCTGTTATGTTTGATTTGCAGTTCTGAGGTAGAAAACAAAATCCTGAGGCAAGTCGGCATATTGTGGAAGTTTGCAGTTAAATTATATTTCAATATTTTCATTTGTATTATACAGTCTTAGGCAGCACTAGTAAACGTGCTTCGGAAATCTTGAGTTACGATTTTATTTTCTATTGCACTTGAAAACAGGTGTCAGTCTGGTCACTCATTGTTAAAAATCACACAAAATTAAATGCATTGTTTGTAAAATGAACATTGAAAATGCAACTTCCCTCAGGCTGTTACTGGCGTACTTAAAACTAAATAAAGTGTGGAGCAGTTAGAAACTGGCTATTTTTCAGAGGTATATCTGTGGAGACCAGAGTAGAACGAATCGTGAATAAATCTTAACTTACTGAGGAGCTGCTACCCTCTCCATCGATTTGTCTCTGGTGCACCCTCCTTTGATTCAGGTTGATGATGAGTGGAGCTACTTGTGCTGTTTGTTGGGACGTTGACAGCGAGTTCTGCAGATTCTGTACTATTTCTTCTACCCGTCGACGTTTCTTTCCTGATGTTGACTCAGTTGGTGGACTTCCTGCCTCGCCCTCGTTTAGAGCAAGGCCTGCCTCCTCAGGAGACATTGCATGGAAACTTTGTTTGTACCTAGGGTCATCTGGACCAATCTAAATATAATGTAAATTTATTGCTAAATTATTGAAAATTTTTCTTGTGATAAGTACCTCATGTTTCTCAAGGAGATGTCGCCTCAAAGACTTTCTTACTGAGTAAGCTTTATCACAGAGCAAACATTTCATGTGTTTGACACCACTGTGGGTCATAATGTGGGCCTTAAGTCTTGCTTGTTGGGAAAAATTTTTTGGGCAGCTGAAATAAATATAGTTAAATGGTCAGAAAAGTGCTACATTATTTCCCAAACATACAGTGAGCATTTATATGACTTGCTCGCTGGCTCGTGCACAATGGAGACATGACGCTGCAAATACTTTTCAGAGTTGAAGCCTTTGCCACATTGGGGGCACACAACTTGAGTTTGGCGGTTGTGAATCACACGGTGCTCTTTGAGAGCAAAACTATTTGTAAACATCTAAAAAGGAAAAAGGTATTATATTGGTAAATAAAATAAATAAATATTTACTTTGTTGCAGATTTCACATTCTATCAGTCCTTCCCCAGTGTGTTTTCGAATGTGGTACTTGAGTTTCTAAAACAATGACCCACAATTAAAATTGTGCCTGAAAATATTATGTTCATGTTATTTATTAATTTACAATAAATTACCTGCTTCTTTGAGAAGTTCTGACCACAGTAAGGACAAGTGCACATTTCTTCCTTGGTGTGAACCCTGATGTGTGAGTTGCATGCTCCTTTGTCCGAGAACCTCTTTTCACAATGTGTACACTGGTATGGCTTTTCACCAGTGTGGATGCGAATGTGTCTTATCAAATTCGACCTTTGAACGAATTCCTTTGGGCAGTGTGGGCATTTGTGTCGGGGTCCATTGTGAATTAGTAGGTGCTCGTTGTAGCTGTCTTTGCGCTAAGATTTGTTTTATATCAGCAAGAATAATTAGTGGCATACACTAATTACCGTGAACTCTTTGCCACAGTATTCACACTTGCTAGTTCCAGACCCAGTGTGGAGTTGTCTATGTCCATACATTCCCGATTTGCTTGCAAATCCCTTGCCACAGTCCGAACAGTGATAGGGACTTTCTCCTTCATGGTCGATGGTGTAATGCAATTTTCTATAATACAAATTTATGAAAAAAAAAAAAAAAAAACAATAAAAAGAGAAAATTGTTACCTCTCTTCTTTGGTGTCAAATTTTCTTTGACAAAGACGGCAGCGAAACCCAATTTTTGATCCCTTGTTATGTTTCATCCTGAAGTGGATTGTGTATGCTCTTCTATTGAGAAATTCTTTGTTGCAGATTGAACAATTTCTTTTCTTGAATTCGGAATGTAAGACCTAAGAGTAATAAGTTATTGTTTGGGCGGTCCACTCTCTGAATAAAATTTTGTATACCTTAATATGATGGTTTAACGTCTTCTTAGTTTTTAGAGTGGCAGAGCACATTTTGCATCTGTAGATCATGGCACCTAAATGCCAAGAACTAAAATGGGTTCTCATCAAGAGTATGGATGGCATCAGTTGTCGACAGATTCTGCATTTGTACTTAATTTTTGATCTCATGTTTTCATTTGGGTGACTTGAGATGAGATGCTGTTGAGCAATGGCCTGAAAAAATTTCATTTATATCACACACCGCCATATGGAAAAAAATTAAGATTTCTTACAGTGCACGTAGCAACAAACTTGCAGACCGGGCACTGGTAAAAATTTTGGTCCTGGTCAGGATGCTGTTCAAGTTGATGCTTGTCTCGGTCTTTGTGCTCACGAAATCGAATGGGACAAAAGCGGCATTTGTTTCCTAAATGTGTGTGGTCGTCTTTCAAATGGCTCTTCAAATCCTTCTTCAATCGACACTTAAAGGTGCACAAGTAGCAGCTGTAGTCTGCTGACTTGCAATCTGACTCATTCTTTTTGTCCCAACCCAGCTTGTGCTCTTCATTAAGGTGGGCACACAGCTCTCTGGGTGAAACAAAATTTTGCTCATCACATAGTTCACACTCTAAATTGACTTCACAATCTTCATCTTCACTTGACTCAGACATGCAGTCCATGTCTTCAGGATCAACGTCTAAGAGATCAACTCCATAAAGGTCATCAAGTTGTTCTTGTTCGTCTTCCTCTTCAGAACTTGACTCTGAGCTTGCAAAGAGATTTACTAAAGGGACTAAGATGTCGTTGGAAATTTCCTCTTCATCAGTATCGGTGTCCAATCTGCACAAAAAGAGAAGCGCTCTTGCTTGCTTTACGTTGTGCTCTATTATCAAATGGTTCATAATTGATGATACTTCGGAGGTGCTAAATTTGTTAGAATTTAGACACAAGCAGCAAGTAAAGTCCGGCCGACTAAGAAAAGGGTGTTTATAAGAACAGCTCTTGTGGTACGACGACAGGTGCTCCTCCATACTATCAGTTATCTAAATTAAATAATGCTGATTAAATGTATCAATTAATTATCATAATTTTACCATATGATCACAACAGGGGCAACGCAGCGTTGAGTGCTCTCTAGCAAGGTGGTTTGTTAATTTTCTCTCGGATTCAAAAGATTCACCGCAACCCAAGCAAGGTAAAGAGCTGTGCTCTTGTACTATGTGCAGCTCCTTGGCCAGCCCAGAGGGAAATGTGATGCAGCATTGGTAACAGAATGACATAGACGAGCAAATAATTTCATGTGCCATTCTGAGGGCAGGAAGATTAATGGAGCCCTGACAAACTGGACAAAAACTGGCCAACGACGAGGTAGAGGGAATTTCAGGCATGCTGGCAGAAGTGCAGACACAGGCCATGGCCATGCAGGAGCTACAAGGCCTCTCTGAACTGTCATCTTTGATAAGAGGTGTTGTTGTCTCTCTTAGCAAGAAGTCGGCAGCTTCATATAGAGAGGCCGAAAGGGCACTGTCCAAAGGCAAGCTATGGTCATCGTGAAGCAGGGAGCTGCTGTCTCCACCCTGGTGGAACATGTCATGCCCTGAAAGAAATATGCAAAAATACATCATAATCCTTAGTTCGACCACCGCCATATTGTGTAAACAATAACAAAAAACATCGAGCCGTCAGAAATGATTAATTTTATGAGATGCTTTAGACGTGGAATCCCATATTTAATTCAACGAGTCTTTGTCAATTATAAAAACCAGATTTCCCAGAACGATCTGATGGTAAATTTAGAGCGAATTTCAAGTCTTTTATTTGATAATAACAGATAAAAAGCTTACCAATTATTTGTCTCAGTCATTGCTTCGGCTCCCTTCTGTTTTTGTCTTTCAATCCTTTCAATTCTTTCAAACCATGTCATAAATGCTGCCAACTAAATTAATTTTAAAATAGCCCATGCTGATAACAGAAAAACAATTTTTCTGTTTTTACTTTTTTTTCACTTTCAGCTGTTAAATAATTAGTTTTTTAATTCTTTTATAATACATATACTATTAATACAGCATTTCATGACATTAAAAATGGTTTCGTAGTTAAAAGAGTAAACTTTGTAATGCTGTCAACATTGACAATTGAAATTTGTTGATTTTATTGCTGCCAACTGAAGTTGACATGAAAGTAATTTTTCATGAAATTGGAATAAAATTTGAATTATTGAACATGCGCAGGATAATAATTATTATGGTAAAAAACAAAATTTAATACAATATAAAATTTTTAACTTTCGGAATCCTCACAAATTTTTCGTTTGCGGTGGACTTATTGCTCGAGTTGGACTTCGGTGAATTTTATTTTTTGTTGGTACAACATGCGGTGACGTACATGACGTGATGGTTTGAGGAGAAAAGGGTTTTAGAAATTGATTGAGGTGAAAATGCATTGCAATGATCCTCCGTTTCTCCGATATTGAGCGGAATTAAGACGTTAACGAGGGTTTCTAGTGCGCCATGAGCTACTCTTGTTGACCACTGACAAACAACCCACCTGAACAGAGCGAGCAGTCGTCCCGAGAAATTGAGGTGTGTTCTCGGCAATTTTGGCAGGTGCCAGATGGGCGAGTGAATTATTTTGTTTGGCCACCTTGCATTTTATTTTTCCTTCTGCTCGCGATATTTTATACTAACAAATTCTCTCTAAAATGTTGAACCGCTCATATGAAAGTCTTCTCTCCCTGTGGCTTTCCTGTGGTCTTTCAGCTTTCCTTAATTGAATGAGAAAACTGCATGCGTTTTAAGGTGACGGCATTTCTGCTGAAGCCCATCGCAGACCATGGGTTCTTCTAGCGTCAAGCGAAAGACGAAAAGTAGTAGGGCGAATAAGACTAACGAGGAACCACAGGCTCAAACTAAGGAGCAGATCAAGGCTGAGCTGAAACGAAGAGGTCTCAAAACATCCGGCAATAAGACAGAATTGGTAATTTTGAGATTGATCAACATCAGAGCAGACGAGTCTGTTTTCTACGCACCAATTTAATTTCGTCATTGTCATTGAGAAATTTGAGACGCATGTTTGTTTTCCCCTTTATTTCTGAATTTCTTTATTGGCACATTTAAAACTTTGCCCTTCTATATTTTCTGATGCCTTCTAGTTATAAGTACATAATCGCATAATAGTAAAAAAAATTATTTGCTGTACATATATTTTTGCACCAAAAATAATATACATATTTACTGAAACAAAGTGTGAACTTTTATGATTTAAAAAAAAATTTATTTTGTTTGCATGCCTGATATGCCCTTTGCCCCATTGCACCCCAATGACCCAATAGTTCCTCTCACAATGGCCTACACAGTCATCAATATTGACCCTCCATTCGTAACTTTTTTTATTGAACATTTTCTTATTTAAAATATTATTTTTGGAATTTTCAGCAACAGCGGTTGGAAAACAGCTTTTCCAGCTCAATGTCGGGAGTGTCTCGTCGAACGAAATCCGACCCTCAGGTCAACGGGTCCACCAAAAATAAGGTGGCGATGCACCGAGAGGAGCTCAAGAAAGAGCGTGCCAAACTTGTATTATGGCGCCGCCCTTTTCTCACTTTGTATTATGCCACTTTGGAAATGACTCATTTTTTAAGATCTTCTTTAAAAAAGTAAGAAATTAAAATTTTTTGCAAATTTAATTTTGTTAGCTCATTTTTATCCTGCTTTAGAATGATGCAGCATAGAGTATTGATGACAATGGTCCTTCTATTAACAGCGGCCATAGCCTTTTTATTCAATGTGCAGGGGCCACATCAAAAGGTCAGTAGATAAATAATATCATTAAATTGTTTAATCACAATTCCGCACATTCCATAATTCCTGATGCTAACTTTATCAATTTCAAAAATTGCTGCAGATGCATATTATGCATATTATTTCAATCCAATTAGAAAGTGATGCATATTTTACATTAATGAAGTTGTTAGTCATTGGTTAATAAAAATTAATTAAATCCTAGGTCATCGAGCCCTTCCTCAAACAAATGTGGTGGTGCACGTACTGGGTAGGCCTGGGGGTTCTTTCCTCTGTTGGCCTCGGCACTGGACTGCATACTTTTCTTCTCTACCTTGGCCCACACATAGCCTCAGTGACACTGGCAGCATACGAATGCCACAGTCTTGACTTTCCTGCGCCGCCCTATCCCGACGAGATCGTCTGTCCTGACCATCCCAGTGCAAGTTGGGAGGCCACAACATCGGTCTGGTCAGCTGTGCTGGCCATCATGGCCAAAGTAAGACTGGAGGCCTTCATGTGGGGCGCTGGTACTGCCTTGGGTGAGCTTCCTCCTTATTTTATGGCAAGAGCAGCCAGACTCTCAGGAGGAACGGACGAGGATGAGGACGACGACGATGAACTCCGAGACTTTGAAGAGCTTCAGAGAAAGCAGCAAAACCACGAAGAAATGGTACGTATTTTGTACTTAATTTGTTCAACATGTATGAAGTGTTACTTATTACAGACTATTGTCGAGAGAACTAAACTAGGAGTTGAGAAACTTGTGGAAAAAGTTGGATTTTTTGGCATTCTCGCATGTGCCTCGGTATTTAAACACAAACTTTCTTAGAGAAGACATTTCCTCAACAAAATATTTTTCAGATCCCAAACCCTCTCTTTGACCTGGCTGGCATAACCTGCGGTCACTTCCTGGTCCCTTTTTGGACATTCTTTGGTGCAACCCTGATTGGAAAAGCGGTCATCAAAATGCACATACAAAAATTATTCGTCATAATTGCTTTCAATGAGCCTCTTGTTGAGGCAGCTGTGACAATGCTCGCCCGCGTCCCTTACATAGGGCCCAAGGTTCAGGAGCCTTTCAAGGAGTTTCTTGCCAGACAAAAAAGCAAACTGCACAGAAAGGTTGGAGCAAAGACGTCCAGCGACGGCCAATCTGTAAGACAAATTAACATATATTCTCTTTGAAAGTCTTCAATGATATTTCCTTACAGGGAAGCTTGCTGGCGTCCTTGTTTGAAAAGCTTGTCATTTTGATGGTGTTTTACTTTGTCATCTCAATTGTTAACTCACTGGCTCAGGCATACCACAAGAGGATACATAAACAAGAAAACGCAAACAAGGTGGCCACAGACTAGTCAAGTGAGCTGTGCTTTAGTCATTCCCCTTGTGAAGCTAAGTGAATTTAATATACATTCCCTGTGCCCTGAATAAAACTTGTGTTGTTGGAAATAATTGTATGCAATTTCCTTTCACAATTGAAACCTTTTTTAAATATTAATTGCTGAAATTTTATTTCAATGTTGAGGAAGTTTAATTTGTATGATTATTTATTACATAACAAGGATTATACAACTTTTCTATTCACAATTCTTTTAACGGTATGGGTGGTCAGCTTGGATGTTAGCAGCAATTTCAGATTCCCACTTGTCACCGTTGGCCAAAAGCTTCTCTTTGTTGTAGAGCAGTTCCTCGTGGCTCTCAGTGGAAAACTCAAAATTTGGGCCCTGTAGTAATTAAAGAACTTAAGGCCAAGCAGAAAATTTTGATGGCTAAAAGGTACCTCAACAATTGCATCGACAGGGCAGGCTTCTTGGCAGAATCCACAGTAGATGCATTTGGTCATATCGATATCATATCTTGTGGTTCTCCTACTCCCGTCAGCTCGCTCTTCGGCTTCGATTGTAATTGCCTAATGAAACGAACAACGTTTATGCAATAATTAAATTTTTAATAAAAAATTTATACCTGTGCAGGGCAGATGGCTTCACACAGCTTGCAGGCAATGCAACGTTCCTCACCAGAGGGGTACCTCCTCAGGGCGTGCTCGCCTCGGAACCTGGGGCTCAAGGGGCCCTTCTCGAATGGGTAATTTATGGTAGCTGGTTCCTTGAAAATGTGCGCTAAAGTCACACCAAAACCTCTCGCCAACTCAGTCCAGAACATGGTGTTAGCTGCTCTGTCAGTGATGTCCGTGAAGGACATGTCTGGATCCTTTGGCGTGACAATTTTGTAGCATCCTCGCTGTTGGGGTGCAAGCAGGACAGCAGACCTCATCAAAGGCGCAGCTAAAAATACGAAAGCCTTGAAATAAAGTGGCGTTTTATTTGATAAATTTTAAAAACGCAATTTATTAGTTCCAATAAATAGCATAATCGTGTAAATTTTAGCCAATAAACGTATAAAACTTGATTTTTACCTGTCCTTTGCAGCGAAAATAATTTGAGTGCCGCCATGTTCGACCAACTCTCTCGATCAAAATAGCGCGAAATTCAAAATATTCTAGAATCAAGAGTTAATTTATGTATATGTGGTATATGTATTTAATTTTACCTGGACCTAGACACAGAATACTGAATCTAAAAAAGAATAAACAAATATTTAAAGATTAATTTGGATAACAGGCTCAATGTATGACCGATTTAAAATTTGAAAAGTAGACACCTGACACGTATAATTTGTCTGTACATAAAAATAAAACATAAAATTGTACGTATGTACACTAAAAGAGGCGCTTCAATCGATTGCAAGGCGCAGCTTCGGCTCGGCACTCGGCAGCTGAAAAGAAAAATGGCTGACAGCGAGGAAGGTTTGGCGACTGGAGAGTCGAATTCCTGTGATTTAAATCAAAAAGCCGACGGAGGCACCAAAGCACCTCTGTCTAAAAGGTTGAATTTCGTCTGAGTTATCCATTTTGTGTCATAAAAATGCTATCGTCACTGTACTTTCAAAGCAAATCGCAAATGAAAGTCCTCCATGTGACTCTGATGTTTTTTTCCGTGTCATGCTACACATACTGTTTCAGTGGTCATTAAAAATTAACGTCTTTGCAGTGCGAAAAAAAGAAGGAGGAAGCACGAAGCTGCCCAAGCTGAAGAAGAAGCAAAGCAAGATGAAGGCCGCAGCAGTATTTCAATTGAAGGCATCAAAGCTGCCATGGAAATGCTCACGATGCAACACAAACCGGCAAAAACTCAGGAAGAGGCACTTCAAAAGCAATACCAATTTTGGAACACGCAACCAGTGCCTAAAATGGGTATTTCGATTTTAATTTAAAATTTACAAAATCTCATCGCTTTACATTTATTTGAAGACGAAAAAATAACTAGCAATGAATCAATCGAACCTGACAAAACCGCTGCGGAAATCAGGCAAGAGCCATACTCGCTGCCAGATGGTTTTCAGTGGGATACCCTGGATTTGAACGATCCACTTGTTGTAAGAAACATGAACTATTATGTTGTTTTGGCCTTACATTTTTTTCAATTTCAGTTGACAGAACTATACACTTTGCTTAATGAGAATTATGTAGAGGATGACGATAGTCTTTTCAGGTTTGACTATCCCCAGGATTTCTTGAAATGGTAAAATTAAACACTCCTTACAAGAATATTTATTAAATTCTACATAAACTGCAGGGCCCTGCAGCCTCCAGGATGGCTTTCACAGTGGCATTGCGGAGTTCGTGTCACCAAAAATAATCGCCTTGTGGGATTTATATCTGCCATTCCTGCTTCTATCCGCATCTACAACAAGTCAGTTTTTACTAGTTGCTTTTTGATGGAATTATACTTTTTAAATACCATACAAGATCGAGATTTTAAATAATATTTTTGTTTTGAAGTTGCTTCATGTTAAAAAATTACTATTTTACACAAATGTAAATTTTTATTTTTATTTAATAGAAATTATCAATTTTTATACAGAGTGCAGCGCATGGTAGAGATCAACTTTTTATGTGTGCATAAGAAGTTGCGTTCCAAGAGAGTGGCTCCTGTGTTGATCAGAGAAATCACCCGCCGCGTAAATCAGCAGGGAATCTTTCAAGCTGTTTACACGGCTGGGGTCGTTTTGCCAAAACCCGTGGGCGCTTGCCGTTACTACCACCGCTCCCTCAACCCTAAGAAGCTGATTGAGGTCAAGTTCTCTCATCTTGCAAGGAACATGACCTTGCAGCGAACGCTCAAGTTAAATAAACTGCCAGATATGCCAAAGACAGAGGGTTTTAAGATTCTGACTTTGCAAGAGTTAGACAAAACTCATGCCATTCTAAATAAGGTATACATTACATAAAATCACATTAATAAGAAACTACAGTTGTTTTCTTGTGGATCTAGTACTTGGAAAAATTTGACCTGGCACCGGTGTTTTCCAAAGAAGACTTCAAACATTGGTTCTTTCCACGACCAGGCATTGTTGATGCTTATGTGGTTGAGAAAAATGGAAAAATCACAGGTAAAGTTGTGGTGGCTCCTCTCAAGAAAAATTTAGTAATTTTTTTTTTTACCAGATTTTGTGAGCTTCTATACTCTTCCCTCGACTGTAATGAATCACCCCATACACAAGTCTCTCAAGGCGGCCTACTCCTTTTACAACGTCAGCACCTGTACACCTCTGATCGATTTGATGAATGATGCTCTAATATCTGCCAAAAATGTATGATTTTTTTCTTCAATTTTGGATGCAATTTTAATAAAATTAATTTGCAGAGCGGATTTGACGTTTTCAACGCTCTTGATTTGATGGAGAATAAAGAGTTTCTGAAGGAGCTTAAGTTTGGTAAAGGAGATGGTAACCTGCAGTATTACCTCTACAACTGGCGTTGTCCATCCATCCCCCCTCACAAAGTATGGATCTGGTTTATTTTGCAACTTTGAAATCAAATTAACAACATTTTAATTTCCAGATTGGACTTGTTTTGCAGTGAAGATTCTCCAATATAGTTTAGGAGCAAGCTGTGATTTCAGTTTCTACACAAGATGCAAAAATTGAATTCAAGAATTATGCACCACTGTTTGTAGTCCTTCTTTTTTACTTGAGAATTTAAATGGGACGCAAGTATCATTAAAATTTAAAATAATGTTCAATTCAAAACAAAATTGTCTTTAACATTACCTGGCTCTCTTTTATTATTCATTTATTTCTCGCTGATTTTTATTGATCGACTCGGATTTTAAAATACTATGTATTTCCTAAGAGGGCGCTGAGAATCTCTTAAAAGAGCCGACAAATATTAGTGGCTAATTGTTCACACCTCCATTATTCTAATAAAATAAGAATTACAAATTTTGTTTAACGGCTAATTACATAAATATAAAATGGCAAAATTTTGAAAATATGGACTAGAAGTATTAATAGAAGGAGGGTCCCTATAAATGAAATACGTAAGGGGGAGCGGTCATTATTACGTTGTTGCGGTATTTTAATTTTTATTATAAAGTTTCACAATTTTTAATTTCTTATTTATGTTCAGAAATATTCAGTGTATTATATTATTTTTCTTGTGAAACCTTAAAACACGGAAGATAAATTAAATATATAACCTGATGGCATTTAAAATTTTGCAATCAGACATTTTTTGTATTTACCGCTAAATCCTCGCTCATGATTAATATTTTGATTGGTCGAAACCGTTTAGTGACGTCTCACTAACAGTGTCCTGATTGGCCGCGTGAGTTTGTTATTTGTTTATGACTAGCATGTGCGTTGCAAGGAACAGCAGAGAGATTATTTCTTTACAGAAACGTTGATAATTCATAGTAATTGAGAGAACTGGTAAGTCCAATCAATTTTCTGAAAACATTAATGACTAGTGTTTTTTCTCGACCGACACCGAACAGTTAAATCATTTTTATTTCATAATATTTGGCAGATTTTCCAACCGACTGCGCTCCTTGCAAAATGGTCAGAAAAATTCGGTCACGTGAGGTGCCGACGGAAGAAGAGTCGCTTAATTCAGCTTTGGAAGGCACGTATCTAGAAATATTACAAACTTTTGTTGCTCTCAATCACAAATTTTTCTTTAAACGTTGAACCACATTTTAAGGTCTCCAATATAATCCCTAATCCCGTAATTTCAATTTTCTAAACTTGTTGGTAATAGTAATAGTTTGTAATTTTGTATGTACGTTTTACCTTCCGGGTTTGTTTATTTATCAAGAGCAACAAAAAGAACATTCTCTTTCCTTGGTAAATTTAGATTTTTCCTTGTTAATTTTTAATTTTGTTTGAAAATGCAATTTTATTTAAATTGATTTGAGTATGTACATACAATGTAAACGTTTTTTACATTTTACAGATGAAGGTATGAATGAATTCGATGACATGAGTTTGGAGGAAAAGAGGCAACTTCTCCAAGCCATAAAGGATTCCAAGAACCAAAGTATGCATATGGTGGATGCCCCTAAAGATGGGGCAGTTGTATCGTCAACAACTTTAGAGAAGAACAAAGGAGACAATATTGTTGTTCAAGTAATTCACTGTAAAGTAAAAAAAAAAAATCATAAAAAACTGTTCTTAAATATAACAGTAATTCATTATGTATAATGGGAAAAATGTTCAAGTTTATATGATGAGAGGAAGCTTCAATGAATATTTTATTTTAATGTTTCATTGTCTGTTTTAGATTGATGACAGCAATGAAAGCACAGAATGCAGTGACTTCAGCTCCAAAGAAAACAGAAAAGCTGCTGATCAATCTTCTGGTTTCCAATCATATAACTCATATGAAGACGTACCCCAAAGCCCAGCAACATCTCCGAAAAAGACTGAAACCCAGCTCGTTGAAAAAACAGCTCCGTCACCTAGCGAGTTCGAACAGTTTCAAATTTTGTCGTCGGGCATGAATATCTTGGATCACCAGGTTGAACCTTCCCAGGAAGTGGCCCTATCCTGTGAAGTACACTTGAAAGCACAACAAAAACTCAAAGCTGAGTGCAATAGGTACTGAAAGGATTTATTTTTTAGCGATGTTACTAAAAATTTCACCCTAATTTCAGAGTTCCTTGGTATTTTGATGCAAAGCTTGGAATCTCTAAGGAAGAGCACTTCTGTGCAGTTAATAGGGAGATGGAAAAACTAACTGAAAAATCTGCCAGACAAGAGCTGTCTAATTTGCAATTTCTAATGCGTTTCACAAAAAATGGTGACTGTTACAATCGAGAAATTCCAATTTATGAGTTGTTGCCTTATGGATTTATACCTAAAGAAGTTCCCTACAGTGAAGTGATTCCTAAGGACAAGCAAACTTATGCTAAGAAGAGACGTCTCTCAGAAAGCGAAGACAATAGAAGTAATGATGACAGTGATGATGATTTCAAGTCTCCAAAAGCTAAAAAGGTGTCTTCGCCTAAGAAAATTGTTATCAAGCCCAGACTTATAAATTTAGAAGATGAAAATGTCAACAAAGTGAAGCCTGGGCCTAGCAACGAAACAAATTTCAGTCCAGTGAAAGAAATGGAAGAAGACGATGATATAGTGGTTGAGGGATCTCAATCTCCTCAGGTGCAACCTTTGGTTCCAGACGATCTACTGGACTGCCCACTGTGCTTTTGCAAATTCGACAAATTTGAAATTGAGGTATTCCTTCCATTAACAAAAACTTTGATATTATTAATATCGCTTTGAAATTGCAGGCCCATTTTGATCTTTGTGACCGTAGCTCAAATACTGAGCTAGTTGATGGACGGTAGAACTTATAATATTTTGTTATTATAAATCTTAACTTTAATTTTATAGCTGCCCATTTTGCCACATTGAATTGCCTGGCGAATTTTTAAGAGAAAAGCACATGAGTAAGTGCCTGAGCAAACAGGCAGCCCATGGGATAGTACCATCCATCCAGACCATGTTCTCGAATGGTAAATTAATTTAATGCCCCACATAAAATTGTATCTATTTGTTCTCTGACAACATGTAGACAAGCCAGTCAACAATCTTAACGATTCAAGAAGTGATGATTCGGACTTGAGCGATGCATGTGAGGAAACTATGGTGGAAAAGAAATGTTTGGAAAATTTGTAAGAAAAATACTTGTATTTCGGACTTGAGCATGTAACCAAATTTCAATTGACATCCACTATTAATAAGAAAATTTTTAATTTCTTGTGGGAGCTCAATTTCAATACACAATGTACATTAGAACCGATTAAAACTCTAATTATTGTAATTTTTTTTGTGCTTTTCAATGTGGAAATAGGAATATTTATGAGTAACACAAAATTATTTTTGGGCTTTTTGAATATCCAAGAAATATAACAATGCCACGCTTGTTGGTTTGAAATATAATTTCTTTTGTTGGATTGCATCTCCTTTGATCATTTAAGTTGAGAGCACATCACCTATAGCTATGTGTTATATTTTTAATTTAGATTTTGGCGGCTCCTCTTTGTAGCATGGCAGCTCTCCACGTTTGATTCATCAGTTTCCTTGAATTCATTAGCACCTGTAGTAAGAAACAATCAAAATGTAAATAGGTTATTCAAAAGCTGTACCTTCGGTTTCCGGCCCTCTCTTTACACCCCTTGTAATATCTGCGTTTAGTATGGTATCATCATCATCACTCTCCCAATCTTCAACCAACTGTTTCATCACATCTTAAAAGTTAAAATTCAAAATATTTGTTTTTGTTAAAAGCTTTTATTCAGGGTTACCTTCTTTGTTCAATCCCAGGTTTTTGGATTTTTGGGAGCATTTCTCACGATGAGTACTTTCAAGGACATTTTCAGGAATGGTGACCCCGCATGTAGGGCATCTGAATAAATTTATATTTAGAAAAAAATTATATATTATCCTCTTTGTAAGACACTCTCATGCAAAGTTTTGTGGGAATATGACTTCTAATATACTTCAAATTGTAACATAAAAATTAAAATATACAAACTTTTTCAACTCAATTTGTTGCTCCTTGTCGGCATCAACATCCAAAGTAGCCTGAGGGTCACTAGAGGCGTGTTTCTAAAACAATATCACAAATTAAAATCATCCTTATAATTTAATTCATATATTATATACATATATACACTTAGAATCACCTTGGATTCGTCCTTTGTGCTTCGCACTGTAGTTGCTTGCTTCCGTACCGTTCCAGATGTTTGGGGCTTTGAAGGAGTCCCTGCATAGCTCTTAGCACCTCGCTTGGCTGACTTGGCTCCTCTTCCTCTACCGGCCTTGTTCTTGCCATCTAGGAATGTATTGTGATTGGACTCTTGAAAAATGTCATCATCATCATCATCGTTGCTATCCAAGGCATCAGGATGGGATGGGAATGAGGGTTTCTTGGGGTCTCGCCCTGAGAACTTATTGCTGCATCAAATGACACGTTTAATTAAGTTTGTCTTAAATTTAAATTTCATTATTTACATTATCTTTGATCCCATTGCTCCTATGCCTCCAATCCAGTTTGAACTTGTGCTTGTTCCCTCTAATTTGTTGAGCAATTCTTGGCGCTTGTTGAATTCAACCACTTTCCTGTATGGAACATTGACAGCATCTTGCAAACCCCAATCCCAATTGGTGTCATCTTTTTCTTGTAATTCACTGTCGACATCCTTCTGCATAGCCATCAAAGACAATTTCTCCATTTTATTTGCAACTTTCTCATGATGCTGCATCTTTGTTAATCCAGATTCTTTGGTGTAGTACCATGTGAAACTAAAATAATGAATTATAATGCATGCATTCTTCAAAGGTAAAAAAGTTCTGTAAACTCAAGAATGCGTACCTATTTTCATCCACTCTCTTCTTTCTCTCAAATGTAAGGTCTTCATCATCATCAGAGTAGGACTCGAAAGTAAAAACCTTGTTTGACATCAATTTTTCGTAATCTTCTTGATCTGCACGTGTCCAATTACGCATGTGCTCAAAGATCTCCTCCTCAATCTTCTGCAGCCTTTGCTTACGACTGTAAACAAGTTCTTTTTGCTCATCTTTGACGGTAATCTCTTCATCAATCTATGATAGCAAAATTATATTAAAGGAAATACACAGAGAATATAAGAATAAAAAGGCATCACATTTGAGGCATTAGAAGACCCGCAAGCTGTTTCGAACGAAGAAGTTTCAAATGGATCAGTTTCAGACAGCACACTTTCATTCTGCAGGGAACCTTCAGTGGTTGAGTTCTTCAAAGCTTTCAGCATATTTTTCTTTTCATCTAAGCTTTCCAGGTCACTTGTATCCAACCCCATTGCTTTGAAAAACATATTAATGATATATAATTTATATATATTAAATTGAACTGGATTGATATTGTTGACAAATGAAAATATTTAACATTAATATTATCTGAGTAATCTCAGTAATTTAAAATCTTCTCCTCTGCTAATAAATATTACAAGTATTTATGTATTTAAAAAAGGACACATTTTTTATGGTAAATTTCTAGTCAAAAAACTTAAAATATGTGAATAAATCATTTTATACCTTCAAGCTGAGCATCAATTTCTTCCTCTTCTGTCGGCTGAGATTGTGTGGTGCTTCTATTCCTTCTTACAGTCACATTTCGCAAATGACGTGGACTCAGAGAACCAGAGTTTGGTAGAGGCAATTTTTTTTGCTTTGATTTCGATCTGTCGTTGTGTGCCATGCTGGGTTCACAGGAAATTCGTTGTAGCAACTGTTCTGTAAAATTTTATTGAGACTGCAAACGATAATAAAACAAAAATTGAACATGATTTAAAAATAAAAATAAATTTAGATGTAGCAAAATAGCGGGGACAGCATGCAATTAATTGGGATGAACGGAACGGTTCCATTTTTTTTTTAAATTTTTTATGTGAAAAAGAGGGATCATTTATTTTAGAGAAAGGTTAGTTGTAAGTAATTATACTGAAAAATGTAATGTATATGAATAATTAAAATCGATGCAGGAGCCAGGGTGAACTATAATTCAAATTTTGGAAATTTTGTAAAAGAATTTAAAAAATGAATTTTGTAGGTGGGTTTTGTGCCACACGATATTTGTGCAGGAAACAACTTTTTTCACCTCTCGCTCGAGTTTCCCACGTTATTGATAAGGTTGCAGCGCATACGTGACCTGCTGACCTTAAGGCCTTACTCTCATTGCTGACTGGATCCAAAATGCAACGAGAAACCGTTTTTCAGCTACTGGAGGTGGAGGCGGCGGCGTCGGCGCTTTTCATTGGATACATCGAGACATGAATCATGACAATCATGTCACGTAGCCCAGCTAGGAATTCAAGAGTGGCTACCAAGAATGGCAAGAATCTGATTTATTTTCAAATTCGGAATTGTGCAAAATGTGCTGTGCGTGCAACACTGTGCAAGTGCATGCAGAGTTAAGCATTGCAAGTCGGAACAATTCTTCAGCAAAGTGAGAAGTGAGCGGCGAGCGCAAAGTCGCAAACATCACGATTCACGATTGCCGGAATTCTTTAGGAGAAAAATTTGGTGAGCAACTTTTACCCGGCCAAAGCTCACTTTCACATTCATCAAATTTTTGTTCCTCACAAGCACCAAAAAGCGCAGACGACAGACATGTGTAGTGTGCCGGCGGCTGCCATAGCCGCAGCGACATGCATTTTTTTTGCATTTTATAGTGACACGTATGTATACTTCACGTTATTATCTACCTTTCTCATTATACGTCCAAGTTTTCATGACCTTATTTTAAGGATATGTAGTATAATTATTATGGAGTTTATTTATGTCCTTTTATGTACTTATTAAACTATTCAGCCAATTTTACAGTACCCACTCTCATTTTGTCAGTGCGGTCCCACACCTATCTTTTCGACCCCCGTCGAGAATACAAAAATTGATTGTTTTGCAAATTGAAATTGCAATCATATTATATTTTAATTGAAGAAGTTGACACTTGAGGAGATGGATGAAATGAAGAGATCAGGCTTTTTACACGTTTTGCAGAAATTGTTTTTTTTTTTAAATAACAAATGGCTCTACCAGTTTCAGTCACGGTCTGCGACCCTAGACCCTATTTCATTGAGGAAGAAAAATATACAAAAAAAAAAATCAGCGAAATTGGAAAACATTTTAACATATATTATTTTTGTGTTTTTCTTGCAAATGAAATAGGGTCGCATGTACCGTATCCGAAATCCGAAACTTGTAGAGCCGTTTGTATTTGGCTTTAGGTTGGTTGTTCCGGCGGGGAGTGGAAATGTTCCAGGTGGGATTAATTACATTTTAATTGTCAATATAAGAGGCAGGGCCTGCGGATAATATAATGGGTTGTATCCATAAAAAAATCTAAAGATAAAAAGTTCAATTTTTTCACAAAGATGAACTCAAGTTGATGATCAAGTTCGTCGAATTAATTAATGTAAAAAAAATATCTAGATAGTCAGTCTCTTCGATATGATTATACTCACCTCATTTACGCCAACTTCAATGTTAAACAATTGAATGCGTTTTAAATAATAAAAAAAATGTGGATTCAGAAACTGAGCGAGAAAATCAACTCTCGGAAAACAAATTAAAACCCAAATTTCAACTTTTAATCAGAAATCGTCTCAATTATTTAAAGACGGAGTATGATTTCACAACAAAAATAAAAAAAAAAGCATACACAGCAACCATATATTAACAACTTCTCCTGATTAGTTAAAAACATTCTTGTGAAAATTTACATTTTTAAAGGATAATCAATGAATTAATTATTCCTCTTTTTGCATTTTGTATTTTTAATTATATATTATCACTAAGGCAATTGCTGCCTGTAACGGAATACACCATATTTCAAAATTTATTTTTTTTTCTCAGAAAGTTCCTTCTCTAGAAATACATATTTTGTACATGAGAAATATTTTATTTTTAAATTTTATCTTATAGAAAATTTTTATTGTTTTGAAATAAAATTTGTTTTTGTTCTATAAAAAAATGCAAGGTTTTTGTCATTTACAGAGACGGACCTGCAGTCGGAAGGGAGCAGGGACTCGAGCTTTTCGGTTCGCTTTGTGCGGAATATAAGGAAATCAAAGTGCTGACTGCGTGCAACGAGGATTACGCTGGAGGAGTTTTATGAAACTTGAGGTAGGATTAGTCTGATATGCAAAGCGGAGCAAAGGATAATTTAATGACTTCTCTAATCCCTCCGCGCGGGGAGGGAGGAAAAATCATCCCCCCATCTGATATCACTTGATTGATTGGAAATCGCGCGGCTTTTGCCTTTCGCTGCTTTTTCTTTAAGAAAACAAAAATGCAAATCGATGCGAATTTTCTCAAAAAATATTTTTTCCGCACACAATATAATATCGAATTTGATTAAATAATATCAAAGCGGGGACCACCTTCATTGCCTCCCATTATTTTTATTGGAGGGCCGCGTCTCTCCCGCAGGCCATCGGAAATCAACATTTGTAAGCGCGAAGGGTGCCGCCGGCTGTTGATTGCATTTGGTATGGATTCAGTGACCTCAGTCCAGAGGAATATCGCGCGCACGCACTGGGAGCCGCCGCTCTCTGATTGCAAAATGTGATTGGAATATTCACACCTTCATTACGGCCAGGCGTGAAAAATTTGCTCTGACGAAAGACTGGGTTAAAGTTAACAAGGTGGTGTCTGAGGTCTGATCCTAAAACTGAATTTTGTTAAAAAAAAATTTTGTTTTAAATAAAGAAGTTTTTTTTAGCAAATTCAAATTTTGTGATGAAAAAGATTCAATATTCTTGATTGATACAAATGTAGGAATTGAAGCAATAATCAAATATTTTAAATCTTCTTGGGTTGCCTAAAAGTGCTTTAAGTTGCAGTTACTGCAATTTCGAAACTGAATTTTTTAATGTTGCGTTCATTCAAGACTAGACAGTCCCATGTGGTGGTCAAACGTGAGTTTCCCTCGCAAATGCTTGAATGATTTAAGGCTAGTATTAAAATATCTATAAAAATTCAACCAGCAGTGGCTCAATTTTCAAGATAGAATTTTAACAGCATATTATTATGCGATTAATTACTCATTCTAAACATAAGCTATTTAATTTTATATTCTATTCCACCATTAAATTTGCTTTTGAGAGCTTTGAAAAGAGGAGCCAATTTTAAACGGTTGTGAACATGATTTTTATATCAAAATTATTATTTCAATCTTCATTTTCAGCGCACATTTTTCCATTTATTTACAATAAAAAAAATAACAAGCTTTTTAACATACATGGTACCACATTTTGCTACCACAATGTGGTACCAAAATTTTTTTATCACAATTTCGTACCAAATTTGAGATAATAAATAATGTCACATACAGCTGAACCGGTTCTGCACTAGTTACGTACTATTTTTGAACCAGGTCTGAACTAATTCCAAATTTTGAAAAACTTTAGTACGAAAAAACTTTAAAAAAAATTAAAAATTCATTTCTATATATTCATGAAAACGAAACATAAATGAAAATGGCACCATTCTAAATGACAGAAATTGACCCTTGGTTCAAATCTGGTTTGGATCTGGTTCAAAACTGGTGTAGAACTGATGCCAGAACAACTGAACCGGTTCTGCACTAGTTACGTACTATTTTTGAACCAGGTCTGAACTAATTCCAAATTTTAAAAAACTTTTTTAAGGAAAAACTTTAAAAAAAATTAAAAATTTATTTCTATATATTCAAGAAAACGAAACATAAATGAAAATGGCACCATTCTATATGACAGAAATTGACCCTTGGTTCAAATCTGGTTTGGATTTGGTTCAAAACTGGTGTAGAACTGATGCCAGAACAGCTGAACCGGTTCTGCACTAGTTACGTACTATTTTTGCACCAGGTCTGAAGTAATTCCAAATTTAAAAAAAAAATTTACGGAAAAAATTTAAAAAAAATTAAAAATTTATTTCTATATATTCAAGAAAACGAAACATAAATGAAAATGGCACCATTCTATATGACAGAAATTGACCCTTGGTTCAAATCTGGTTTGGATCTGGTTCAAAACTGGTAAAGAACTGATGCCAGAACAGCTGAACCGGTTCTGCACTAGTTACGTACTATTTTTGAACCAGGTCTGAACTAATTCCAAATTTAAAAAAACTTTTTTAAGGAAAAACTTAAAAAAAAAAATTAAAAATTTATTTATATATTTTTAAAAACATAATTTTTGTTTGGTCATTTTATCGCAGAATTATCTTTTTTTTTCATTTATTTATGTATTTCAAAAAAAAAAAAATTATTTCAGACAGAAAAAGCATGAATTTGGCACTATATTCGTTTTCATTACCATTTTATTAAGAGGTCGGACGTCATTTCCATAAAGCAGTCACTTAGGCTTAAGCGGCTAACATCTTGTTGGGTGAATTGCCGCCGACACCTCCGCACGGCTGCCGTCAAAATTTGTCTTTCGCCTTGCCGGCAGATGAGGGACCACACGGGGAGGATAAACTTAATAAAGAAGAGTGAAGCAGCATTTTATGGCGTGTTACGTGCCTACCGGCCCCATAAAATTTGTGATAAACAGGCGGTATTGAGACATATTGCAGGCGTGCGGTGTTTGATCAGGACGCAAGGTGCCTGCACACGTGCCGATGGGACCGGCGCTAATATACGCCTACGTATGTATACTGCCTTGTCTGCCGATATTGGCGAATGCAGTGTCAACTCCCTCGAGAGTGCACCGTGCATTGATCACACATTTTCCTCTTGGCTGTGCAGTGGAAATTCTGCAAAACTAACATAAAAAATAGAGTGCATGGTAAATATTCAAAATTGCATTTTATATGTACAAAAATAATTTTTTTAGAAATATTGATAAATTACCCTCGGAGACTAAAGCGTTTTCAAAAATTAATTGCAATTTATTATGATTTAAATTTGTTGAAAATCGTTAAAAATAAATCTTTAGAAGCAAGCAAATAATTATTAATGTCTTCCAGATAAATTATTTTCGAGATGTAAATTTTATATTCAATTCATTTGCCATTTGATTTGAAAGCCTTTTTCAAACATGATGTTATTTTCTAAGAAAATAATTAGTCTAGTCTCTCGTCTTCTCATACTGATATTTTATTTATTTAAAATTTGAGAAACCTTAATGTAAGCTGAAAAAATTTAAACTGCAGAAGATTAGTCTGACAAAATAAAAATTTAAGTTTTGAAAGGAATAAAGTTTTCCGTGTAAGTATCAGCTCGGTCGATCTCTGCCTCATTCTTCTCTTTATTTTAATTTGCACCGTTGGCCCATTAATAATGCGCTGGGGTGCAGTTGTTTCACAATTGCAGCGTTTCCAACACGTACCAGTGAGAGAATCTTAACTTTTGCACCCTGTGCGCTCTCCGCGCCAAGTTGCTGCTTTTTCAGCAACGACGGTGCAAAGCTGGAACACATGTTACCCTTTCGAGCTGCAGCCCGCCGGGCATTTGTTTTGCTCTTTGTCTCTTGCCGAATTGAAACTCTCGCCTCTTTCAACGGCACAAGCGTCCGAGCATTTTGCACTCTTGAATTATTGAAGTGCATCCTGCGAAGATCAATTAAGAGGTGTTGCGCGTCCACCTCTCTCTACGTTTCAAAACTCAATGCGGACGCCAAATATATATGCGCTCACAATTACAAAGACGGAAGGTAACACTTCTGTTCTCACCCCTGTACGTGCAGAGCTAGAGATAAAACCACGTTTGACCTACATCATCCTTGCATTTAAAGTTCGTCACTAGAATTAATTTAAGTTGTGCTATTGTATACCCTCACTGCAGGGGAGTAGGACACTGGAATTGAATTCAACTTGATTAAAAAAACTCTTATTTAAACCAATTTAAACAAATTTAATGTTATATAAGTAGCAGTTTTAGTTCCTGTAATGAAAAAATTTAATAATTAATATTCAAAACATTTAACAAGTAATTTGAATTTATCAAATTTATGTGAAAAATGCTTGTTTCATCAATACTAAATTAAAAGCATAATATTTTTCATTATAATTAAAATTTTTCTTTTATCAGAAATATAGGGAATTTCTTCTATATTTCAGCAATTATTGTTATTTCATTTCATTGCTTTATGGATATGAATAAAAGCCCTTCGATGAGCTTGATGAGGGCAAGATCATGTCTCTTTCGTCTTTCATGGCAGAAGAGGGTTTGTATTTATTTTTAAATTATGAAATATAATCATGATGCAGTAATTTGGTGACCTAAATATTATTCGAATGTTCAAATTGTGTGCATAATTATGTAAATAACTTTTACATCAAAAACTAAAAATATTTTTTCAGAAATAAAAAAAAAACTATTTAATATTAGGAAACCTGTTGCATTAGAATCCTGAAAATTATACACACAAATTTCTTTGATTATGAATTTTAATGTGATTTATTCTAAAGCCTCAATAATTTTACTTGCAAAATTTTTGCTTTGTGATTTGACTCTTTCATTGAAAGGATCTGGTGGGAGGGACGCCCAAATCTGTGATATCTACACATCCAATAATCCAATCCCGCTCCCTGCATTGGAAACGAGATGAGAGAGAACTCGCGAGTGGAGAGCCAGCCAGTCACTCACTTCATCAGTTTGATTTTCTCAAGTTGGAAATAAGACTTTTCTCTCTCTCGCGCACTCTGACGGCGGTGTTATTCTCTCCGCGAACGGCGGCATTAATTCACAACGTAGTCAGCTGAAATTCAATTTACATTTGTAATTGGATTAATAATTGATTCGCCAAGACAGTGGGGAGCACGCGGCGAGGCTCTGTTGTTTAAAAGGCGCGGCGACGGGCGTTTTGAAATGCCGAGACCGATCAGCCGCCAACCATCATTATTATTATGATTATTATCGATCACGACCAGCGCACTTGACGCGAGTGTTTTCCAAGCAAAATGGGTTCTTTTTCAAACAGAGTGAGTTTGTCCAACAATGCAAAACGGCCTCTAATGCCCCCTGATGACTGACTGGCTGCTGAATGCAATTGAACGCGGCTCTGTGTGCTGGGCGCACTCGTATCCATCTCTCGCGCACAATGTCATCTGCACCGCACTCGCCTGATGCTTATTGTTCTCCCCCCCCGTGATATCATCATTTCAAATCGCGCAGCCGGTGAGAGAGCGAGAGCGGTGTG